CCTTGTCCCGCGCGTTGCATATTGACGAAATGTCCCGCATTTTCATCAGTCTATTGGTTTTGAATTATCATATTAAGAAAACGTGCATGCATTCTTTCTTTTGCCTTTTTAAGAAAGCATTTTATGTATTATTTTTGCTGCATAGTTTTTCACATATCTAACAGCGCTTCGTCATATGTGGAAATACAACAGCTGTTTTTTATATCCTATCCAATGGTTTAAAAGAAAGGAGTAAACACTAGTAGGTTCTGACGGCTGTCAATGAAAATGTGGAGCGGTAATTCGTTCCATGTGTTCCCTGTCTGAAAACAAATGGATAATTAAAATTCTAATTTAACAGAATTTATCTTTTGTTGTTTAATCTATTGCCTGCTGTGGTTGTTTTAATTCACATACTTTGTAAAAATCTGAAACTTTTTGGTTTTTAAAGGGTAACTAAACCCCTGGCCAAAGCCTGACTCCACCCACTGGCAAAATTTGAAAAATGCTGAAAAAGTGGGCAGACCCCAGGGGAGACAAGCCGAGGGCGGGGCACATGAGACCCGCAGTGACGGATTAATTGACAGCTGCTGTCAGACTCTAAAATGGAGAATGACTGGAGTGACGCAAGCAGTGTTGGGAGTAACGCATTACAAAAGTAATACATTACAGTAACATATTACTTTTTGCTGTAACGCAGTAGTGTAAGGCATTACTAATCAATTTTCAGTAATATTTTACTCGTTACATGTTCAGTGAGGCTTGTATTACAGTTGTATTAGGCCACCCTTAAAAATATTCTTGTTTGCCGTAACCCGACCGACCCTGTCAATTTAGGGCCGACCCAATTTTTTATTTTTTTTTCCTTTTTGTCCGACCGACTTGCCGGTTGTAACCTGCGTTCAGACCGACCGATTTTTTTTTTTACTCTTCAAACGACTAATTCAAATTCAATAAAATAATATTAATTATATTTTAGTTAGTATTGTGAAAGTTGCTTGTGTCTACATAGCCTACAAACGTAGGCTACGTTCTTTCTTAAATAAAAACCCGTGGCGTCATATTCATCAGATTATGTTTACACCATTGGTTTAACGTTACGCGTGTCACTATATGGCTTGTACGTTCGCTCGTTTCAGTGTTCCCGCTTGGTACCCGGTATTAAAAGGGCAACGGGGCTGAATATCAACCATTTCTATATATAATAAAAATATTAAAAATATTAAACAATTTGTCTGTGATGCAATTTTGCTATTCGCAGTCCAGAAGAGAGAGCTATCTCCCGGAGCCACAGCGCGCACAGCACTACAGCCCTGCTTAATGAGTGACAATGAGGACAAAACGTGGTTACACTTTAGATCTGGGATATTATTCTAATTGTATTTTAGATTTCCGCTTTCAAAGATTATAAAAAGAAGATATTTGAGATGAAACCATTACAGACGCATTCTGTCCAGCGCAACTTCCTCCCCTTCACAGCGTTGCGCTGTCATTTCTTCCTAAAACCCAAACGTAGGCTACCGTCAGAATCAGCACGATCGGTGATTGTTGTAAAATGCAGTCTGTACTGTTGCTAAACTGCGGACGCGTGCAATCATTAAAAGAGCCATTAAAAGCACAAAAGTCTGCGCAAGAGACGTTGTTCACGACGCGCGACGCGCGCTTCGAAATGCACTAAAACGAGACAAGAAAAGTAGGCTATCGCCTCATTTTGGGCTTCATGTGCGCATCTAAACCATCAAATATACATAAACACAGTTTATGTCTTAATTGGACGTAAATAGTTGGGAGAAAACGATGGTGCATCAGTCATCTATTACAGTAGAGTTCTACATTCGGTCTTAAAGGGGCAGTAGTCTAATAAACGTGACGATTGAGCCAATGCGAATCAAACAACAAAAGGCAGATAAAAATCACTCACAGCTCTTGAATGAATAACTTTAAACTTTAATAAGCATTAATCTAACTATGATAAACTATGCAGTGTCATTTTACATTTGATTACTAGCTAAATTAAATTTCTTTTCAGAGAGAGCAACAGACTTAACTAATTTTAGACCTTCCTGAAATTAAAGCACTGTGTAGCCTATATAGGCTAATTTGTATCTTTGTTTAATTGTATTCTTTGTTTGACCATGTGTTTGTACTTGTTTTTGCTTATCTCATGTATATATGCAAAACAAATAGATATTTTATACATTTTGTGACTAGCCTAAAATGTAACTGGTCGTATTTTGCATTAACACCTAGCGGCGGATGCACAGTTTGAAGACCCAGTCAGTGACGTCACAATATGCATTTTTTTTTTTAAATTCACGATCACCATCTCCAAAATTGTACCTTTTTTTTTACACTGAATCTTGGAAAAAAAAATATAGACCTACCTACCGACCCTTTTTAAAAAAAAAATTGCTGTTACTGCAAACCAAAATATTTTTAAGGATGGCCTTACAGTGTATTGTCTGCTTTTACTTCTTAAAGGCAACAGACTATGTGAAAGTTTTAAAGCAGTCGTTTAGTGCAAGTTCAGAGCGGTCGCGTCTGTAACATTGTTTTTTTCCTCATAAATGCGAACACGAAAACTAAAATAAAATGAATATTTTAAGTTCTTTGGAGACTGGAGAGCCAACCCTTCCTCATCCGATTTGCGCAGTGTAATCAACAGAATTACAAAAAATATATTTTGCCTCCTATTTTTTTTTGTCACGCATGAATGTGCGTCTTTTCCCTAATATTAAAAATAAAACATAGACTGATATTTGTCTAATGTCTGGAGTCCTTTAAGGAAGTAGCCTATATACGTTTCAATACATGTATTTTCTGAGAATTTTTATTTCAAGTTTTGACTGCAAATGTCATGTCCATAATGCTGGACTTCCCCAATTTTAAGTAATTTATCCTCAACTAGTTTTGTGGTGTAGGTCTACGTATTTTATAATGTTAACTTCAAATAATACTAATAGCCTAATTTAAGGATAAGGCAGCATTGGATCTGGACGGTAAGGAGAATAACGCTGTGTCGCGATTCTGTAGGTTCGTGGATCTGAGTCGTGTGGTGAATCGCGATTTCGGTTTCATATTGCTTATCGTTACAGCCCCAAAGTTAAGTTCTACTTGGTTATTTTGGTGAAAGTAACTCAAAAGTAATACATGAGTAATGTAACGCATTACAATTCTGGGACAGTAATATTGTAAGGTAATGAATTACTTTTAAATAACAGTAACAAGTAATACCTAATGTATTACAGTTTGGAAGTAACTTGCACAACACTGGACGCAAGTAGCTTTGCCACGGAGCAATCATTTGAAGTTGAGGACTTTTCTCCCCCACCTTCACCTGAAGTATCATATCAAGCGGCCATATCAATTCGAGCCGCTGGCTCAAACTGCGGTCTTAACTCCCGCATCGCGATCGGCATCCGAAGCAGGAATGGGGCCAGTGTCTGAATGGTAAAAATTAGCATTAGGGCTATATTAGGCTAATGTTCATTACAAATGCTAACGGAACTGTCAAAAAATTAAAACCAATTCATTTAGGTATGATGTAGTGTTAATAATTAAGTGAAAAACATATATTGCAAGTCTCCCTCTACAATTACAAATGATGCTGTCTCAACAGGTGCACCTGTGGGCACTGCAGCTCACTGTCCCTGGTAGAGAATGTCTGTTGTCGGGAAATACCCAAGGTATAGCTATGTAAGCTGTATCATATACTTGATTATTTATGGTTTGCTTTATCAATAAAATGAAACACTAATTTCACATATTGTCTTTCAATATTTTAAGTTCAATTTCATACATTTCAAGTCAAATTCAAGTTCAAGCATTTTAAGGACCTTGTACGAACCCTGGAAAAAAACACAACCTCCACATACATAGTAAATAAATCATCCTAACAAAGTAGTAATAAACAATTCTCATGTTGTAGGTAGTACACAGGTGTGACCAGATTGGTGGAGTGGGCTGTGTAACGGCACATCCAGGCTTTGAGCCTGTAGCTCTGAACCCATATGTGTTACACGTACAGTTATATGGTGAGATGGAAGAGACAGTTACAAACAGGTTAGTTCCAGGAATAAAGGTTAAATTTTATATAAAAAAAATAATTTTTTATATATATATAGAAAAAAAAATTGAATAATTAATTAAAAACCAATGTATCCTCCACTTCAACATACATGTGCACTACCTGTCTTTCAGACACCTTGCGTATCGTAATGTCGTTAGGTGGTGTTGGGGGTACCTTGGCAAACACATTCGGGTGGTCATACCTTCTTGCGTTGTGACACGGATCAGGGAAGAGTTTCCTGAAGAAGGACCATACAGAGGTTTCCTTCCCCCACTGCATTGAATTATTTATATATATATATATATATATATATATATATACAGTAAAAAATGAATTCTAAAGAAGCATTTTTAACTGGAGTAACACACTACACACACACACACACACACAAAAAAAACTCAAAATGAATATGTAATGTAAGGGGTATACAGTCAAAGACCCAGAACCAGATATGAAGACCCGGAGTCAGAATTATAATTAAAGAAATAATACTGAAGATAGTTTGCAGTTTCATTCATCAAGGCAAGGCAAGTTTATTTATATAGCACATTTCATACACAATGGTCATTCAAAGTGCTTTACATAGAGGGAATTAAAATAATCAAAATAAATAAGAAAAATTAAAACAGTGTAGAATAAAAATAAACCGTTATCTGAGACTTGTTTTCATGATTATCGAATGTATGTATGGCCGAATAAACTGAGCACACAGCTTTTCTGGTACAGCCATTTGTCCAGAGAAGTCCAGGTACGGCTGAGGGTCTTCCACCACATGGTGGAACAGCAGCTCCATTAATTTGTCAATGTAGCCTTCAGAAAGAGAATTATTATTATATATTATATTTTTTCTGAGATAACTCAGACAAGTATAAGTTACCTGTGGTAGGATTGCTCTTCAGAGCTCTCACTGTAAATTCTCCATGCTTGAATTTCGAGAAAACTATTGAGTATCGCAGATCACCAGCTGCAGTGGATGCCTGTGATCTGCCTCCATTTTCATTATAATGCATCGCAGCAAGCTGTAGTCTGAAAGGGAGAAAATACATTAATCAATATTATAATGAAACGATCTCTAACATGACTTAAGTTGACTATAATAAGGTACAAATGTTTTTTTACAGGTTACAAAATTTTAGTGTATTTAGTAAGCAGCACTAAATGCATAATCCATTATCTTGTTTACCTGCACAACATTCCTTTGAAGGAGAACACCACATTTTTAGGTGAGAACTTCAGAATGAGGCTGTGGAAACACTCGATTCCAGAGGTGTGGTATTCCGGACTAATTTTGAGCATGTCTTTAAGAAGACGTGGTGACAACAAAATTGCTGTGAATTTTTCACATGCTGCTGTGCCTAAACAAAAGACTTAAAGTTCTTAATACAACAGTTGATCACAGTGTTTTATCATTTGGATTAACTTTGACTTGATGTAATGAAGATAGTTCAATATAAATCTAGAGAGTGAGTGACGCAACTACAAAATAAAATACATTAGTGTTACAGCTTATCTGTACTTACTTGGTTTGAGCCAGTGTCTTGTCTGATCACCAACCAGAGGCTCGTGAAGACAGGAAGGAAACAGGGTGTTTTCGTGGCAGTGGATGTTCTGAATATGGTTTGCTACAGAGCTCCACTTGGCCACTACCTCCTCCCCAGATGTTGATGTGGTCACAGACCAATAAAGGTGATTGACCACACTCTTTCTCCACAGCCCCACGTCCTACAGTCCCTTACCCTCACCTTTGCTTCTCCTCATGGGCTTCAAGTTAGCCTGCACACCTGCAGATCTGGAGATGACTGGTTCAGTCTGGCACCCAATTTCTCTGGTCATTTTATGCTAAAAAAATGTTTTTTATATTCAGTCATTTTGAGGTAATTTTTCCAGGATTATTATTACTATTACGTTCAGTATATTTTGCTGCTATGTGGAAAAAAATATCCAGTAAATTGTGATTAAAAATATATGCTCACTCACATCATGACGCCGCTGCGGTGGTGGAGTCCATGCAGGACGAGCAGCGTTTGGCACTGTGTCGCTTCTCAGCGCGAGCTGTGTGGAGAAGCCCATTTCCACCTCCATTGCGTTGGAGAAGCAATCCCGCGTAAAATGCAGGTTGCACACTCGAGCGATAGGCGGGAACTCCCGGTCTTCCAGGCCAAGTGCATGCAACCACTGGCGCCTAATTTCCAAGTCTAGTGGAAAGTTATGCAGTCCAGAGGTGCAGTTGCAACCAGCAACACAACACCTACGTACCATCCTGACCACTGTACTAAATACAGATAAAGCTAATGCTAAAAATCTATGCTATTCTAACTGATGCAATACTATGCTAGCCTACTAACTAACTATGCTTCTAACAATATACTAACAACTATGCTAATTAACTACCTGGCTATACGAAATAATCTAAATAACTATATAAATGCTATGCTAACTAGATGCTAATATATGCTATCCTGATCGTTTTCAATACTCATAAATCCAACTCCTGACTCGCTACAGTAGTTTTGACGGAACCAGATGCTTTTATACCAGGGGCTGCCAAGGGCGTGGTGAGCTCGCACCAAGGGCGTGACAGAGTCGCGTCTGAGAGTTCACTACGTCAGAAAGTACCCCTACTGCAGGAGCTTTCCGTTTAACCTGAAGAGGGCAGCACTCAGACGTTTTTACACCATATATTTGAAAATCAAAACACTTTATACTCAATTGTCAAAAAATGTACTCGAATCAATGAACAGCATTTATGAAGCTCCATTCTACTAGATCATTAACTAAAAAAAGTTGTTTTGGTGTTTAGTTACCCTTTAAATTCAAATTCATTAAGGTTTAAAGGGACAATCACTTTGCATTGTGGAGTTCCATCTGGGAAAATATAAAAAAAACATGCATTTTCATTTAACAATATACATTATTCATCTGGTGATTCAAATTGATTTAATACTGTATTCATTGTAAACTGTAGTAAACTGTAATTTACCAGTGTGTGAGGAATATCGCTCAACGTGTTTTTTAAACATAATAATTCTAAAAGTCACGTTTCGTGTTTGCATGACTTGTCTTCTTCTTCGTCTGGTAGGCCCGGAACAACTTCTGCTGCTTCTAAGCATTTGGAATCTACAGAATATAAGAGATGTTCTAATAATATAATAACAATGTGCTCATATGTTGGTATGAAATAATTTTAACGTAATAACTCATTTTTCATTTTTACATTTTCATCACCACACTCAAACACTACTGTAGGCCTACACCTTATTGTCCCGAAAATGATCCCGATGAGAACCCTTTTCCAAGTGTAAAATTTGCAAAACATGATTTTAAGCAAATCTTTTGTCATTTATAAAGAAAAATCTTCAATTTATCAAATGGCATACCGTATAACCTACTGGATTTAGGCTGGCCATTGTAAAAAAAAAAAAAAAAGTAATCATACATAGCCCACCAATATTTTATTAACAGTAAGTTGACAAAAAATGTAGAAAAATAACAGACGTTAATTGCATAACAGTGCAATTAAAATTATTTACCAGGTTAGTCCAGGGCAACTCGGTTAGCTTATTGACGCTATACTGGCAGGATAGAGTAGCTATTATTTCACATGTAAAAGTTTAGGGCCTGATTGATTAAGAGACGAGATCGCTTATGAGACATATTTTCTATGAAAAAAATATAGGCTAGTCATACAGGACAATACAGTGTAATATATATATATATATATATATATATTGTGCACTTTTACATCCTTGTAATAATAACAACAGTAAAACCAGTAACGTTACTCAACTGATCCACGAGATTTTCCCCAGATGGCTCCTCCATTTCATTAATCAGCTGGTCCACTTGAGCGTTGAACCTTGCTCGTAAATCCGATAAACGGGAATGAACATGACGATCAGACATCTTGTTTAACGTTATGGCGCCACTGCAGCCTTAAAAGTGGCGCCTTAATTCTCTAGTTCACATTAACGATTGGTCAAATTGTAAGGCATGTGATGTGACGGCACTCAAATTTGCATATACGACATTTTAGTTGGTTTCTATTCCAATAAATTTTCTCTACGCTCGTACGCTGCAGTTAGTGCAATGGCACGTATGAATTTTCTTCTGCACTGTAAGAGTGTGTTCAACGACTGTGTACAGATTATTCAAACTGGCAGTTTCGATAAGGATGTACAATTATCCAGGTGAGTGTTTTTAAATGTGTTAAAACAATGACGTTGCACTGTAGAAATACATTTAATGAAATATAAATCTTCAATAATGTCTTGACTATTAAATATCCACTTAGTGATTTATGTGACTTTTTAAATGTTATTAAGACTACATAATGTATGTGTCAATTGCAGCGTATTTGGTTGGCCTATATACAAATTAGACATATGTAATTTTATCATTAGATATGTTGATGCTGCAATGCTAAAACATTGGTAGCCTATGTTTTTCCTGCATTGTCATATTGTTCCAGAAAAAAAAAAACTTAAATGAAATTGCTAATAAAATAAATGAGCAAGGCTCACTGCTGTAAGTGCAAGTTTTAATTTAATTTATTTTTATTGTGCAAATGTTTTCAGTTCAAGTGGCTGTGTTTTGCACCATTTTCACATTATGTTTTCAGATATTTGTATTTTTGTGTATATAAGTCCATGCTTCTGGGTTATATTGTAATCACTATTTCTGATTGTTTTCTTTAGAATTGATGCCCTGAAAAGAAGTCTGACATGGGCCCAAGGTCATCTGTTAAGTCCACCCGCTACAGATGCATTGCAACAACTGCTTGCAGAACTTAGCCAAGAGGTCCATAGTTTGACCAGTGATGTTCAAGAAGGTAACCTAGTGATAATGTTACGTGATGAAAATGATGAAAACATTTAAGCAGATATTTTTATTTAAAGGGACACCGTGCATTCAGTCTATTCATATCTCTTGTCAGTATGTGACTTCCCTACATTTAGAACATGACATTTGACTATTATCTCTGATTACTCTGAAATGTATTTCTGTCATGATTCTGCCCTCTTGTCATTTCCTTTCTGTAGTCTTGAGGCAGGATCATGACAGACCCATGTTTTGTGTGCAGGCACATGGACTTGTTTTTGGGTTGTGTGCTTCTGTTGTCTTATGTAGCTCCACCCCCTTGTTACCCTTGTCTTGTCATTATTGTCTAGTCAGTTTCACCTGTCCTTGTCATTAGTGTTCCCTATTTTATCCCCTCATGTTTTCTGTCCTGTGTCGGGTCAGTCAATGAATGTGTAACCGGCGTGTGTTTGTACTTTTGCTGAGAGGTCCTGTTCAAGTAAGAGTTTTTGTAATTAGTCTAGGTATAGTTTGCTTGTTTGTCAACCATCCTTACCTCTGTTTTACCCCCTCATGGGTTTTGTTTTCCCTGTTTTCTGTTAATAATAAAATTTGTGTGGTTGCATATTGTCAGCAATTGGGTTCATCGATCTCCTTCATAACAATTTATTGATATTTTATTGTGTTTTATAGGGCCAGGCATCAATCAAGTCCCAATAGCTAATTTTGGTTTTTAACAGGTGCTTCACCGTCCTTGATTTCTCAAGACCAACTGCAGTTTTTGGTGTCCTGCAATTTTACTGTTGCAGAGATGGCAAGCATTCTGCACGTGTCTGGGTCAACAGTAAAACGACGTTTAAGGCAAGTGTGCATGTCATAATTAAAGCAATCATAATATTTATTTCATTAATTTCATTCTTTGTTTGCTAGTTTGTGTTCAATTAATGCTTAATCAAGTTTATTTCCATAGGAAATTCAACTTACAACGCTCAAATCGATATACACAACTAACAGAAACAGAACTTGATGACTTGGTAAAGGAGATTGTGGGACGTAACTGGCAGATTGGACCAGAATCTGTAAGAGCACGATTATTTGGTCAAGGTGTCTTAGTGCAAAGACGCAGAGTACAGGCAAGTGTTCTTCGCACGGATCCTGCTGCTGCTGCTCAGAGAACTCTGACACAAAGGCTGTACAGGCGGGCCTATCATGTTGCAGGTCCAAACTCACTTTGGCATGTAGATGGAAACCACAAACTCATAAGGTATGCAAACGAGTTTTAAAGTCTTTAAATTAATCTATTTCTTATTTTACCTTAAATGGGTCATATAGGTGTGCATCCAATAGTTTTTTATTTTATTTTATTTTTTAACTTCTTAAAGAGTAGAATTGTAGTAGTTCAAAACTCCTAATAAATATATACTAAAGACTAAGAAACTGTTCAACTTTTGGATAATTACATGCTATGTTATGTCATTATCAAATGCTGGTATAAATGATTTGAAGCATTTGTATGTTCTTTATTATTCATTATATGTTAATTATTTTGTTCTCCTTCTGTTAATTATATAACCCACTTGATCATATCTGACCCTGCATTTGAAATCCAGGCAAAAGTCTAAAAATCTACTGAGATAATGAGCCTCAAAGTTGGATTTCAATAATTAATTTCACTTGGATTTACATTTTTGACATGGTCTTAGTCAGTTTTACAGATATGTCAATGTAATTTGCACAAAATGTTTACATTATGTAGGGTGTTTTTATGTAGCGTGTTTTTATGTTGAAAACAGTAAATCACCAAGTAATGCTTTTAGCTGGGTTTAGCAGGGTCACATTTGGCTAACACTTGTAAAAGTATCTTAAGTGCATTGTTCCTAAACATGGTAGTTAGGCTCTTAAAATTTCATACTAAAGTATGGTATTGCGTGTCTTATGT